GCCGGTTGAGCTATAGGCGCCGAGCCACAAAATCACTTTCATAGCCCTCTTCCTACTGTTTTCACTAAAACTCAGTGGAGCACAGTCAGTGGAGCTCTGTGCTCTTTGTGAGAAAGTAAATGAATCCCAGAATTGCCTGAGTTACACAAATGACTGAATCAGGTCTAATTTGAAAAGTATTCTTTCTACCATTCCTTATTGTTTGCTCAAAAATATTTAAACAAAAATGACCAGGCACAGTGGCTCACAGCTATAATCCTAGCACTTTGGGAGGCCAAGGTGGGTGGATCAGCTGAACTTAGGGACTTGAGGCCCTGAGCAAGAGGGACACCCTGTCTCTACTAAAAACCTACCCAGGTGTTGTGGCAGGTACCTATAGTCCCAGCTAGGCAAGAGGATTGCTTGAGCCCAAGAGACGGAGGTTCTGCGGGCTATGATGACAACACAGCACTCTGCCCAGGGTGACAGAAGGAGACTCTGTCTCAAAAAAAAAAAAAAAAAAAAGAGAATATCTAAATTGGTTTATTAAGAGAAAAGGAAAAAAAACAAGTAACCCATAACACCATTTTCACAATTCTGATGTAATCTCTTTAGTTTAGTTACCACTATTTTACATGTTGGTTAAGTAGATTAATTGGAGTCTCAGGGCATGTTTTATTTACTAATCAATATATGTAACTAATGGGTAGTGCCTGTGGTTCAGTAGGTAGGGCACCGGCCCCATATACCAAGGGTGGTGAGTTCTAAACCGGTCCCAGCCAAAGAGCAACAAAAAGTAGCTTGGTGGGCGCCTGTAGTCCCAGCTACTCGGGAGCTGAGGCAAGAGAATCGCCTAAGCCCAGGAGTTGGAGGTTGCTGTGAGCTGTGATACTACAGCACTCTACTGAAGGTGACAAAGTGAGACTCTGCCTCTACAAAAAAAAAAGGAGAGGCTGACAATCTACTTTTGCTTCATGGTGAAACTGAAGGCAAATTGACATGTTTCATAACTCCTACTCTGTGGCATTATTTCCAGGATGTTTGGAAGTTTCGGGCTCGACTCGTGCAAGGAGAAAGAACCAACCTTTGAAAGGGTCCTTTGCTGTGATTCTTGTAAAGAAAACCAAAATGAAACAGGCTGTCAAAGAAACATGTCTCCTGGGTGGGACGACGTCATCTTTTCTATCCGTTTGTTAACAAAATCTCAAACAACACCTGTCGGCTACTTAATTGCACCAAGTAGTTAATTTTGCAGCGGAATGGTCTTGCTTTCATGGAAATAAAACAGCAAAAAGGAAACATTACTGTTTTAAAGAAAACTAATTTAGGGTTGCAACTAATAAAGATGATTGGCATGTGATTTAAGGATGTTGGATCGGTTTCTTTCAGTAAGCTCTTTACCGGAGCAAGAATGAATGCTTGGAAATTCGGGATGTGTTGAGTTTTGTACCCTCTCTTGGTAAACCCACAACGTTTTCAAATCTAGAATAATGGTGGACATAAGAAGGACATCATGGCCTCCAAATAAGGTTGGATATTCATGCTCTTTTTTCTTTTTTTTTCCTTTTTTCTTTTTTTTAGACACAGAGTCTTACTCTGTCACCCTTGGTAGAGTGCTGTGAAGTCACCGCTCACAGCAACCTCCAGCTCTTGGGCTTAGGCGATTCCCTGGACTCAGCCTCCTAAGTAACTGGGACTACAGGCACCCTCCACAACACCAAGCTATTTTTTGATGCAGTTTGACAGGGGCTGGGTTTGAACCCACCACTCTCAGTATATGAGGCTGGCCCCCTACTCACTGAGCCACAGATGCCACCCAATATTCATGCTCTAACAAAGGTTCTTCAACCCACCCCCTCTGCCCAGGAACAAGCCAACTGGGTCTTTCCAATCCTTTCCTCCATTCGTAATGAACAAAGACCAGGGTAACTTCACTTAAAAATATTAAGCATTGGCTCGGCGCCTATAGCTCAACCGGCTAAGGCGCCAGCCACGTACACCTAAGGTGGCGGGTTCAAATCCCCAGCCCGGACCCGCCAAACAACAATGACGGCTGCAACCAAAGAATAGCCGGGCGTTGTGGCGGGCGCCTGTGGTCCCAGCTACTTGGGAGGCGGAGACAGGAGACTCGCTTGAGCCCAGGAGTAGGAGGTTGCTGTGAGCTGTAATGCCATGGCACTCTACCCAGGGGGACAGCTTGAGGCTCTGTCTCAAAAAAAAAAAAAAAAAAAATATTAAGCATTTATATGAGTGCAATCTATCTCCTTCAGAGTACAGGGACATTTTTAGATTCCTATCCCCAGATCTGGAGTGAGTGTGCACTGTAGAGATTTATTTCAAAATAGTACCATCCTTCTTAGACCACCTGAGGGCAGCAAGGAGACTCCTTTCAAAAATTTGTGTTAGGCTTGGCGTCTATAGCTCAACCGGCTAAGGCGCCAGCCACGTACACCTAAGGTGGCGGGTTCAAATCCCCAGCCCGGACCCGCCAAACAACAATGACGGCTGCATGTGTGTGTTAGCTGCTGGTTATAATTACACGGAATGTTTGTAACAAATACTGATGCCCACATCCCTAAGAGTTGGAGAAGTTTAAAGAGCTGCAGCTGAGGGAGTCAGCTAACTGGCCTTCACAACTCAGCAAGGTGCCCCCCAAACTTAGGCTGCTACATTTCCACAGAGGGGGTGCCGTATCCTGAGATGTTCATGGGTCAAAAAGTTCTCAGTTCCTTAGGAAAGACATCTCTTGGGTTGTAAAGCTGGGAGAAGTTTTCAAAGGAGCAGAGAAAGGATTTACAATTTCAAGTTTCTAAAGTGAATGCTCTAAGAACCAGATGATTGGGCCTTGAGTCAGGCTATAAGTTTGGCCAAGCTGGGGGATGAGGACATTAAGGTCATTTTAGTAATCTAAGGTAGTCCTCTGTAAATGCACCCCCAAATTCATTCCTGCTGCTTGAGAAAGACCTCAAACCCAATGACACATAAACTTAGAAATTTCAGCTCCCTGGATAGGACTTTCTTACGAATGGCCCACTGAAATGGTTCATAAATGTTTTCTTTTGATGCCTTCATGTCAGAGTACTTTCACTGATGAATTCAACAAACATTTATAAAGCATCTAATTTGTGCCAGTGTAGCATCAGGTATGAACAAGGTGGAAACTGCCCCTCAGAAAGACCTCACAGCGCTGAGGGAGGCACATGAATCAATGAACATTCATAATGTAATGTGAGGATTCTCAAAACGTGAGACATGGGGTTACCACCGGCCCTAGGAATGCTACTCCTAGGCATTTACCCCATAGGAACAAAAGGTACATCCACATGAAAACATGTAGACAAATCTGCAGGGCAGTGTTATTCACAATGGCCGAAAGATGGAAACAACCCAATATTCTTCCACTGATGAGCCCTGGCCCCAGGGCCAGGCTACCTGGGTTCAGTCCCAGGTCTGGACTTAACCAGCTGCATGGTTCTGGCCAGTCATTTAATCTCTGTGACTGATCTCCCGCTCTGTCACTTAGAGGGAGGTGAGGATTAGAGTTTATGCACCTGGAGTCCTTGGGATGGTGCCTGGCCTGCTCTGAGCATGGTCTACACATTGCCAAGATGACACAATCACGAACCGTTGAATGGTCTTATGCAGGGAAGTGACCTGAGGGTCGTTCAGGAAGGCCACCCCTACCCCTAGTGACACAGAAGGTGAGAAATCTATTTCCATGGTCCAGTAGAGAGACAAGATCTCAGAAAGGCAGGAGCAATGGGAGCAGTGAGGGTAGAGGGCATTTAAGAAGGTGTAAGCTGGCTGGGCATTGTGGCAGGCGCTTGTAGTCCCAGCTACTTGGGAGGCTGAGGCAAGAGGATTGCCCCACCTACCTTGGCCTCCCATAGTGCTACAATTACAGGCCTTTAAAAAGCATTTTGCTTGGATGGTGGCCATATGTATCCAACAGAGGGGTGGAAGGGTGAGGAAGCAGGACGGGTGACGAGCATAGGCGTCTGGTGCCAAGCAGGTGTTCTAGGTCTAGTGATGGTCACTAGTGGCAGAATTCTAAACAATGCCCAAAGGGCAGCTCGTTGGCTGGTAGCAAAGCGCTGATGGGTGGCTCACAACACAGGATGCTGGCCAGGAGCACACTTTCAAAGCTACTGCAGTTAGATAGCCCCGGGGGCTGTGATCAGCTCAGCCTTCCTGGTTCTGGGAGCCCAGCTCCTCCCCTCCGTGGGCCACAATGGGCTTCATTCCAGAGACGTGGATCGGCTGTGGTACTTTACAGGAGCTTTGCCCTCCTCCCCTGTACCGTGGGAGGCTGGCACACTCTCTCCCTTGATATCCTTTAAAGCTGTGGTCCCCAACCCCCAGGCCACCTGTTGGTACTAGTCCGTGGCCTGCTAGGAACTGGGCCCACACAGCATCATTGCCTGAGCCCTGCCTCCTATGTCCCTCCCACCCCCCCAGGCCATCCATGGAAAAGTTGTCTTCCATGAAACTGGTCCCTGGTGCCAAAAATGTTGGGACCACTTCTTTAAAGGGATCTGTGTTTTGCTGGGTGGTGAGGTGAGCTTCAGCTGGGCTCAATGCATCAAAGAAAGGGGTTGCCTGGTCACTATCCACATGGCCCCCACATCCATGTGAGTGTCACCCTGATGGGTATCCAGTCATTAGGGTCCCTCCTTAACTGACATTTGAGTCAAGAGCCCCAGTGACAAGTTCTTCCTCTCGCTCCAGCCATGCTGCAGCCTTGAGGCCTTGCCTTGCCTCCCCTGGGCAGGAGCAGGGAGGACTTTGATGCAGGCCCCTTGGTCTCCACAATCCTGACCCTGCAGCTCCACATGAGTAACCGCAGCTCCTTGGGCGCGGGAATTGGAAAGGCCACTGCAAAACCATCTCAGTCAGGAGCCCCAACTACAAGCTCTGCCTCTGGAGAGGTTTGCCAGGCGCCAAAAACATCTCCAGTGCTCCAGCCAGGAGCTGCCAATAGAAAGCACAGCCAGGACCCTCCCACCCTCCCAGCTCCTGCCTCTCTCTTCCCTCCCTTGCTCCCTGGCTCAGAAGTGAGGAGCCACTGCTGGAAAATTGTCTATCCCATCTGTCCTCTGGTGCCTGGACTTCTGCAAAGATGACTTGGAGACAGATCTTGCTCCTGTCCTGCCTGTCAGCCGTGGTGCTTCTGACTGGTGAGCGGGGGGTATGGGGCGGATGGTGTGGGTTATTCAGTAAGGGAGACTTACCTTCCACAGGTGAGACTACTCAGGTGGGCATGCTCATTGTTGAGATGGCCACGTTTGGGATGTGTGTGTGTGTGTGTGCAAGATACAATATAATACCAAAAAAAAAAAAAATAGCAAGGAAGAAAAAAATAGGAAAAACCCCAAACCAGCGTTCTGGGTGGGTTCCAGGGGAAATCAGTTCTGCAGGTGGTATTTGAGATACCGAGGGCCCAAAGCAGGGCCTGGCAGGCCACTAAGTGTGGAAGGGACCCCAGAGGCCCAACGGGGAGGCTGGGTCTCAAGGCTGCAGCCTCACTCGGCACTTTGTTCCACAGTGCTCCGGGAGGGGACTGGTGCATCAGTGGGCACCAGGCAGGCGGCAGGAGAGGAGCCCCAGGCTGGTGAGTGTGGGGGTGGGGGGCTCTCTGGGAGGGACAGCAGGTGTGGCCAGTGTTCCAGAAGCCCTAGCAGCTCCCTCTTGGATGTGACCAGCCTCTCTGCCTCTCTCGGGTTTCAGGTGTGAAACAGAAGATTTTCATGCAGGAATCCGATGCCTCGAATTTCCTCAAGAAGCGTGGCAAGCGGTCCCCCAAATCCCGAGACGAGGTCAATGGTAAGGACGTCAGCAGGGCAGGCGCCTTCTGTCGGCACCCCTGTCCCTTCTCTCTTCCACAGCCAGCGGTGGTGGCAGGACGCAGCGGGGGACTAGAGGTTCACCCTGGGCCCTCAGTTTCAAAAATGACTGCAGCTCTGGATTAGAAATGACACCACGTTCCCCTGATTGTAGGTCACACGTTGGATTGAATGCGTTGTTGGGATAAGGAATGAAAAGAGACAGCATCCCATCCAATGCACCCAACGGAGCTAAGATGCATCTTGGTTTTAGACAGTGGGAATTACAAGGGGGAAGATAGACGTTTTAGTCCAGAGGGAACACTCACTTCAGCCTGAGTGCTAGCACGGGGTGCCGGTGCCTTCCATGCAGGAACATCAGCAGTGCACATGGGGAAAGCACCGGGAGTCTGGGAGCTGAGAAGCATGGGTGCAAGGACAGCTTTCCTACTAAGTGCCCCCAACTCTAATTTCCTTATTTATAAGCCCCAGAAGAGCCGAGTTCAGCGGGCAGTTTCTAGCCTTCGCTCCCCATGTTGGGGTGAGCTTGTCCTCTGCACAGCCCACTGTGGCCCTGGGCCCCCTATGCAGGCTACTCACACCCTTGACCTTCTAACACTTGAAGGCACATGAGTATTCTTACCCCCACCCGACCCTTCCAAGACGCCGAGCTCAGACTGTCCCGACAGAGCCTGTAGCTTGCTGCTTCCCCGTGCAGTGCGTGAGCATGAATGAGCCCTTTGTATCCCTCAGCACGTGCCGCTGCGAAGGGACTTGCTCAGGGAAAATAACAGGACTGTTTTCAAATGATGGGGAAGAACAGAGCTGGAAATGTTTTTAGATCAGATTCTTTTTTAAAAAAAAATTAGAGAAGTATAAATAAACCAGGAGAATCTCCAGGCCTCATGCAACGTGGGATATAAAAGTTGGCCACTGTCAAGAAGCACAGAGAAAAGGGGATGGAGGTTGGGTTGCTCTTGATGGAAATCAGACAAATGACTTTCTGGCAGACTTTTGGGCATGGGGACAAGAAAGGGTTTTTAGGACAGGCCAATATCTTCCAACCTTTTAAGCTGACTCCAAACAAGGAGGTGCCTGATTAAGCCTGAGGTCCCTCACCTTGATGGCAGCTCAGGGTGGTAAGCAGTCCCGGGAGGCCCAGAGCAGCCTGGTGAAGGGCCAGGATTGCACGTGGATGCACCTGCTGTCACCCGGCCACCCCTGAAGAGGGGCAGGAGAGCAGTGCCCAGTGATTTTCTCAGGTTCGGTAAAGAGCAGGTGATACTTCAATAAACTTGAATTTGGAACTAGCAGACAGGCATCTGACATCTTTATCCTTCTGGGCTGAAAGTACGGGTTACTGTAGGGTGAAAAGAGAATCTGATGAATGCATCTTCCTGAGACGTGATGTATACAACACAAAGAATGATGCATAGCATAAAAATTCCGTCTTGTCCCAAGAGTTAAATTCTTCTTATTCATTGCTACACTGAAGGTCCAATTTGTGGCACTTCCCTAGGCAACGTGAGAAGATTGTTTCTTGTCCTGTGTACATAAGGGATGGGAAATACTCTTTAAAGAATTGATACTGCCTCGTTAAGCACTAGTTTCCTAAATCCTGAGCCCCCCCCATACCTCTCACATCAGCAATCTGGTACCTGTAGTGACAATGGGCCCTAGGTGGGTCTCCAGGGGAGGCCGCTGTGCAAATGTGTTCTGGGCCATCAGTGGGGATGGAGCCTGGTGCTACTGGCTTTGGTCCCAGGCTGTGTGGCCCCCATTTAGTTACTGCAGCTCTCTGAGCCTGAATCCCCTCCTGAGAAATCTATGCGAGGACTGGGCACAAAGATGGATTGGCCAACCAACCCCTTCCACAGACTAAAGTTTCCTGCGAGTATGTAGGAAGCAGTAGAATTCTGGAAAGAAACACGAGACTTACCTCGGGAATCTGCGGTAAGCCCCATGCATAGATAAACCGATTTTCAATCTGAGTAAGATGAACTGATAGAAATATAACAGAAATAACTAGTACTTATATACAGTAGAAACTCTGTAAGTTGACCGCCCCCCCCCCCAGGAGATTGTAAAAAACTGCTCAACTGTGCATGTGGTGTATGTCTGGTCTATGAAAATTAGGTCAATTCTAGTAGGTGGTCAGTGTAGGGAGGGGATCAGCTATGGAGGTTCTGTGATTCCCTTTTTAATGTAAGCTCCTTACTTGCAGGAAGGCATTGAGGTGGTTTCTAATATTACCATCTGCAAAGAAAGATGTTTGTGTCTCTCCCAGCACCTCTGTAGTGTGGAGTGGGGAAGGGGACTGTCCTCAGTTTCTCTGCTTCCTCCACCCCCCTCCACTTCCCCTTGGTGGAGCAGGTGGAGGCAACAGCAGGTCCTCCTTCTCCCCACCTTTGATGTAAGGAGCGCCCCTCTGTGAGAATGGGAGGTGCTCTGAGGGCCTGGTTCTTGCTGCCCCAGACACCCACCACCTTCAAGGAATTTTCCAGGTGAAGCACATTTAGAAGAAACACCGGCTCAGCGCCTGTGGCTCAAGTGGCTAAGGCGCCAGCCACATATACCTAAGGTGGTGGGTTCGAGTCCCCAGCCCGGGCCCACCAAGCAACAATGATGGCTGCAACCAAAAAAATGGCCAGGCGTTGTGGTGGGTGCCTGTAGTCCCAGCTACTTGGGAGGCTGAGGCAGGAGACTCGCTTGAGCCCAGGAGT